CCCCAGCCCCCTGCCGCCCCAGCCAAGCCATGTCCGCCGAGGGTAAGGCTGCCGCCCGCCGCCGCCCCGCCGAGGGAGGGCTGACGGGGAGGCCAAACGCGGAGAACGCTCCCTCATCGTTCGCAAACGGCCCCAACGCTCGCTGACGAGCCGGCCAGGCCACGCCCACCGCGCCGGACGCTATTGGCCGGTTCCGGCGCGGCGAACCGTCGCTATTGGCTTTCCCTACTGCCCGTCGCCGGCGCGTCAGTGGCGGTGGGGGCTTGGGAGGCGCGCGGGCTGTTGGAGGCGCTGTGCCGGGTGGGGGGGGCGGCGGGGCCGGCCGTATTAACGGTTTCCGCGCGCGGCGCCGAACCGGGGGGGGCTGAGGGTCCCCGCGGGAGGGGCCGCTCTCGGGGCCGGGCGTACGTGCCCTCGGCGGGCTCCCCGGTTGCCCGCGGCCCTGGGGTTTTCTCCGGAGAGTCGCTCCTTCCCTCCTTCCCTGCGGCGGAGCCGAGGGCAGAGGGGCATCCGCGCCTGGCTGTGCCGAGGGGGGGTGGAGGGGTGGCAGCAGGACCCTCTCAGCGAAGTCGCAGCTCAGAAGAAAGTAGTATGGCCTTGCCGTAGCTGGGTTACCTCACGGCCTGGGGCCGGAGGGCGGTCGTGTGAGGCGAGGAAAGCTTTCGCTTTCTTTAGTCTTCAAATGGTGGGTGAGAGCAGCGGGAAAACCTTGGGGGAAGCATGCTGTGGGACAGCGGTGTCCTGGCCCTGGTGGGTCCCCGAGTGCTGCCCTTAGTGAGGTACAAACCCAAGTACCAGCTGAGATGAGTCATGCTCCTAAAGTGGGGTGCCTGACCTGGAGATCTTTCCATTCAAAGATGTAATGCATAGTGCAGCCTCTTGCATCTTTGAGGTATGTATATGGGTGTCGTTTACTAGGGATCAAAGCGAGTATATTTCTGTCAGTTACATACTTGGCCTTGCCCTTCCGAGGAGTAAGGTTTGTACGGTCTCACATCAGTTTAAGCTGGCTTAGCTTGTCGGTGCTGTCACAGAGCTCTACCTGCTCAAGAGGGTCCAGTTGTCTCTTGCTCAGATGCCTGATTTCCTTGCGTGACTTCACAGTTCAGGGAGCTATTCTGGCTAAAAGACAATTTTGGTTTTGGTTTGGTTAGGCTTTGGCCAGATCCCTGTGCATTTATACAAGTATCAGCATGAAGTAAAGAGGTAGGATTGACACGTAGGAGGGCTGGGAGCATGACAATCATGATTTACTCCTCTTAAGACAAACGTACAGGTTAATGTGTTTGGTGTCTGTTCCCTCTCCTTTGTCCTCAATTTTTTGATCTCCTGACTGGCTTTGTTTATAACTCGCTAATCTTAACAAATATTGACTGTTATAAATTCCAGGGCAATAGAAAAGAGATGCCATTAGTAATATTCCTCCATCAAAAAGTGCATTGTGAGCTCAAATCTTATTAAACATCAGAGACCTGTTTGTGAGACATGTTTTACCTTGAGTTTTGATCTTATTAGCATCTCAGTAACCCAAATATGAGACCTAAAACCACAGGAAATCTTGCTTCATTATTCTGCTTCTCACCATCATAATCGGTTTGTATTTGCTCAATACATGATCTCATTGTCTTAATCTGTTGCAAATTTCAGTCATGCAAATTCTGACTACATCATGCTAAATTAACTATTGTTTCAGCGTTCAGAGACTGTTGATAAGCATTTTATCTTTGGTAGGGTATTCTGGTGTCTCTGATCTTTAACAACCTATCTAGATTGAGGACAAAATTATCAGAAGTATGCTAAATTCAAGGATGCAACATGAGGTGGATGGTACCAAATTTTTTCTAAGCACACCATTTAAGCATCTTTATGAAATCTAATTTGTCTTACATGGAGCTTCCATGGGTGTCTGTTTCACCTGGGAGTACTGAGATTATGTTTGCAGAAATACAGAGATGTGTCTTAACTGAACTAGAAAATGAAGAAAAGCCACTAGATTCTGTGAAAACTTTGATTTAGTGATTTTGCTAGCAGTCCCCAGGAATCCTGTAGTACAGACCAGGATAGGCCGGGATCAGTGCTTTCAGCTTTCTCATCTGCCACCCATTACCATTCCATACCTTGTGGTTACCTACATTTCTGTTTCCTTAATAAGCAAGAGCATTCATCAGGTAACATCTGACTCAGTACGACTCCTTCCTTATCCCACTGACTTATGTGGTGTATTTAATTAGTAACGTACTTGGGGAAAGAAAATAGTCATGCGTCAGCTTGTCTTCAGACTTCAGCTGATGCATCAGATCTGGTTATATTTCTGTGTTAGTAGTGTTGATTATCATAGCATGCAGAAATGTGCTTAAAACTCTATTACGGCTGTAATGGGATTGCAATCATAACTTGAAGCTGGGATGGGATGATACTACCCCCGAAAGGCATCATGATACAGTGCTCTCCTTGTGCTAATTTCATTTTTTTGGTGCATGTTAGCGTAAGTGTCAGGCCGTAAATAGAGCAGGATCCAATTGTGGTCCAAGTTAGTGCTGCCTGGGGATGAGGAGGGTCCTGGCCACCATCTCGGAGGTTAAAAGTTTTGAGAAACTAATACTTGTTTCTGCATTGCTTCTACATCATTGTAGAAATGATTTGTAATTAATTAGATCATTTTTGGAAGTGAGGTGTTATCCCTTTCTGTATTTTCCTGTTTGGTTTACGTTTATTCTCCAGCTGTGAGTTGCTGTAGCTGCAGACTTTGGGATCACTTTCTGCCCCAGCTTCACTGAGCTGTTGAAATTCTGATTTTGACACTTATTTAAGGGAGGGTGGTGGAGGGTATGGAAGACTGAGCTTTGCTTTCAGATGCTTTTGCAGAAACACTCCTGACTTCCAATCATGCTGGCCTTCCTCTAGTCCAGATGGAGCTGCTGTCTTTGCTACGTGCTGGTTCCACAGAATTTTCCCTCCTCCTGTACCCATGCTCTGTCTGTCTGCTGTAGATTTGAGTGACACAATCGCTGGTCAGGCAGGCTGTATTTGCCTGCCTTATTTCCTGTGGGCCACTGAGGCGTGAGATTTGTGGTAGAGATCATGAATATAGGGGTAAATGCAGTACCTTGTAGGGTTGCACAGGTAGTGTACAACTTGTGTCACTTCCTCTAGTTAGTGGTAGAAAGATGACTGCAGGGCAGCAGAGGCCCAGCTGTAAGTAGGGTATTTGTCAGGCCATGCAGTAACCTGGCATACTGGTTGGGGACATTGGCAGAGAGGATTCTGTTCCCACCTGCTTTGTTGCAGATGCGCCTTTCCTGACTCTTAGTTAACTCTCCCAAAGTAATAGAATAGTAGAATAGTAGATGATTGTCAACAAAAAAAAAAAAAATTGTGCCTGTGAGGCAGTTAAATAATTCAATGCATGCCAATAATTCATGGTAACCTGCAATGAACTTCAGTCAGTGAACATCATTGAAATGTTTTTCTAAAAGCTGTGCCTAAATTAAGTTAATGACTAGTCTTGTTGCTTACTTCTATATAGCTAATTAAAACTGGCCAAGAACTGTTCTCTGACTTCCAGCCTAAGTGGCATATCCTAGGTGATGTCCACTCAGCTGAACTCCTTTATGCGAGGCAGCTATACCCTAACTAGCTTTTTGGCTTCATTCACTACTATAGACATAGCTATTGACTGCATGGCAATTGATAGATGTTTCTGCACAGACCCTCGATTTGAGGAAATCTTTCCTAAAGTGATGACAGCCAAATCCAAATCCTGCTGTATTGTTTCTTCTGGATTAGATGGGAGTCCTGGCCAGAGACAAAACCTTATGACCTGTGGAGTTCAGCTGCTTTCCCACCTTTTGATCTCCTAAGAAATTGGGACAGGAGGAAGAGAGCAGGATTTGGAGTAAATTGTTTGTATAAGAGTGAGAACCAGACCGCTGTTACACTTATGCAGCCCTGATTTGTTCCCGGAGCTCAGTCCATCCTGTGTGCTGAACAGGGTAGAGATACTGTGGAAAATGTGGCCTATTTTCATATTGTTAGTGTGTCATTATGCATGTGTGCTGGCTGAATTTAACTTTTATTTCCTACCTTTCGTGGTTCATGGTATGATTCCTTCCATTAATTCGTTTCGTCAAAAATAAATTCCACTTCCTCCCCTGCCCTCACAAAACCACCAGATCTAGCTATAATAGCTAGATCAATTATTCTGAAATCAGGACTTTGTTTTCCTTGATGTAGTATGTTTAATTGGAAAAAAAATGGTACTGGACATTTGTCATTCAGTATTTCTGCACAGCATCTCATTGAGAGTCAATGCTTGGTTTGATCTGAATACCAAATATGCAGTTAGGATTTGTAGGCTGATTTGTTTCAAGTGTATTAAGCATTTCTTATTTATGAAAGTAAAATCTCAAAACAAAATGAATATGTCTTGTCATATGCTTGAATGTAAATAGTGGAGTTCTCAGAAGTGCTTGTTACTGGCCTATATCTGTTCCTGTTGAAGCTGGACACTGTAGGAAGAGCTGGGTACTGAATAGTTTCAGGAATCCCACCAACTAAGAAATAGTAAGCTGCTTCCCTTCTAGTGCATATCAAAACCTCAATGTCTGTGTTTAAAAGTGACTTTGCTTTTAGATGCTAAAGTGAAACTGGTTTTAAATTAGCCTGTGGTACATTCAAATAATGCTAGAAGTGATACAAGCACAACAGTTGTCATCTGACATGCAGAGTGGTGTCTATTCTTATGTCTTTCTGCATATGTTAATAGATTATGTATCTGTGAATGTTGAGGATGATGATGAAGCAGTGATGATTGACCATGGAGAAAACGGACTGTCCACACAAAGCTGCGTGGCAATGGGACAAAACTCTGAAGTAAACAGTGTTCACCACGTGGCTCAACTTGCCTATGGTAATTACTTTTCATTTTTATTGTGATCTAATAGTTTATGACCAGCTTTAATGCTGTATGTTCAGTGCTGGTATCTTGAATGCTTTCTGTATTACCCATATCTGTAAAACATACCTTATTAGAAAGCTACTTTATAGAAATTGCTTGGCAATGCATTTAAAAAGAGGGATCTTTTTAGTTATTACTTTAGAGGTCTTTATTGTGAACCCACTGAAATATTATGTATGAAGAAGACAGTTTTTAACTTACTTTATAAAGTAAGTATACCTAGGAATGATTTAGCAAGCAATTTGGAAAATAAATGTCATGAAAGAACCTAACCTGAAAAATGAGGGTTTTAGTTAAACTGTCCAGTACAATTTAGTGAAGCACTGTGGATACTGATGTGCAATGATAGCAAGATGGTTGTTTAAGGTGATAAATTATTAGCTGTAAGTAGCCTTTGGTGATTGTCTTTAATTCACTGTATTTATTTTAATGTGCAAGATCAAAGTCTATCAGAAATCTTACCTAATTCTCCACTGGCCCAGACAAAAATTAATCGCAGCTGTTACGAGCATTTAATAAGTCTAGTAGCAGTGTTACCAAGCTAGTAAGGAAAATGATTGCAACTAAGTGATGACATTTGCTAGTTTTATTTTTATTTGACCAGTTGACTTTATAGAGAATTTCATCAATATTTCTCTTCAGCAGAGTCAAGTTTCCTAGTGTTGTTAGGTGCTTCTGAGAACCTTTAATCTCTTTGGTATACTGTAATATATTTTTTTTATGTTTATGTCTAAAAACATATTTGGGGAGGAGAATGGTTTGTACGGTTTACTTTGGGTTTTGTCTGTTTTTAAAAAATAAATAAATAAAACTTCCTGCTGAAGAAAGTATCATAGACAGTTGCTGACCTTGGTTTCAGGACATAAGTAAATATTTCATTATCAACACAAGAATCAGGATGAGTGCGTCTGATGGTTTTTTAAAAGGTAAAAGATGGCTTCGTCATCTTTGGGGCTTACAGCTTCTCTTGTAGATTTTTAGCATTAGGTATTGTCTAGTTAGAATTGAGAATGGTGAGATGTATGACCAAAACATGACTGAAGTTTATGTTGAATGTAACTGTTGAACTTAACTATTTGAAATAAAATTCTCTCTGGTTGTTTTTATTCAACCACCATACTAGGCTAGTCTCTTGGAGGGCAGTGCCTGTTCTTCAAATCTGGTTCTGTCTGTCCAAACTAGTTTCTTTTACTTTCATCTTATATCTTCTTGCCTACGGATACTTAGCTGGCAGAGGAAGCTCAACATCAGTAAGATACAGATCTAGGTCTTTATTTCTCCCCGCCTGCTGCAGAACACTTCTGTTATGCTTTTCACTTATCCATTTATGCCCACAAGCTCAGTATCACTTTTGCTGGCACTTTTTTTTTTTTTTTAGGTCATCGTATTTGTCCTTAAATCTAAATTTGGAAAGCTAATCACAAAGATGCTTAGTTTAACACAAGCATAATATGTTTAAAATGTGATTAAACCAGGGACCTAATGTTCCTCCACATGAAGTGTCATTCTTTTGACTAACTTGTGAAGTTTGGGACTAACTGAAGTTTGAGGGACTAACTCGTGCCATTGTGTTAATCCTGCTGCCCTGCACTCCTACTTTCAACATGTCCTTTGCCTGTCCTGGCGTTCATCCCACAGAGTGCTGCCCTGTCCCAAGCTCTCAGTTCTGGGGGTGCTTAGCACTAGGAGATGAGTGCTGGCCAGACGGACCAAGCATGGTGGGGACAGAGGGATAAGGTGATCAGGCAAAGGAAGCAAACTCTGGAGCTGGGTGGGAGAGTAAGTAGGTTTTAATCTTCACCTAAGAGAACAAATATTAAGCAATTGTGTATGTATTTTTATTACTCTGTTATTGATTGTGATTTCAAAATTATCTTTACTATGCTAATCAAAATCTACCACAGATCTTGCCTAGCTAGCATCTGTCAGCTCTGCTACAACATTTCACAGAATCACAGAATTATCTAGGCTGGAAGAGACCCTCGGGATCATCAAGTCCAGCCATCCACCCTACTCTAAAGTACTCCCCTACACCATATCCCCCAACACCACATCTAAACGGTTCTTAAACACAGCCAGGGATGGTGACTCAACCACCTCCCTGGGCAGCCTATTCCAATGCCCGACCACTCTCTCTGTGAAGAATTGTTTCCTGATGTCCAGTCTAAACCTACCCTGGTGCAACTTGAACCCATTACCCCTTGTCCTATCATCTGTAACTTGGAAGAAGAGACCGACCCCCACCTCTCTACAACCTCCTTTCAGGTAGTTGTAGAGAGTGATAAGGTCTCCCCTCAGCCTTCTCTTCCCCAGACTGAACAACCCCAGCTCCCTCAGCCTCTCCTCATAAGACTTACTCTCCAGACCCCTCACCAGCTTCGTTGCCCTTCTCTGGAAGGGCATTTGTCTGTGCTCTTAATGCAAAGAAATTTTTTTTCTAGCTTATGAAGCTGAACATATTACTACTTTTCTGTCCTGCCTCTTGCCCTTCCTCTTTTAGTGCAAAAAGTGGTTGTCTTTGCTTTTTATTATTTCTCTTTGCTCGTCCCTGTCCCATTGGATTAGTTCTTTCTTCCTTAATTTCTGATACACTAGCTCTACTTTCCAGTTGAGGCCTGAAATTAGTTCCATTATTTTGCAAAAGTAGTAAGAAGTACCCTTGTAGCTCTTCTCATGCAGCCCTTTTTACTTGAGAGGAAGTAACTGAAGGTATCCCCAAACCTTCCTCACCATACCTCTTCAGCTTGGCCTAAGCTCCAAAAAGCACCTTCACAGCAGATGGTATGGTGGAGAATTGGTGTTGCCTTTTCATGCCAGCTAAGTTTTCCTCCTTAGTTCTTGGAAATCCTCCACGGTCCTGTTTAGCTGCTTAGAGTCTTTTAATATCTTCTTTATATCTGCTTTAAGCCTTTTAAGACCACGCGGACAGCAGCAGCGGTGAGTGCTGCGGCTTTACACTTGATCTGGACTGAGGCGGAGAGGGGGTTTCCCGGAGACGGGAAGCCGAAGGGAGAGCGGGGAGACCCGAACCCATTCGGGAATCTCGCGAGGGAGCCGAGAGGCTGACGCAGCTGGGGGCGGGGCCGGGCGAGCCGCGCCAAATTTAAAAGCGGCCGTAGGTGCAACAGGCTCCGAGCGCGTGCCGGGTATTTGAGCGCGCAGGCGCACGTGCGCACAGTGCGAGGGAAGCGGCCCTCAGGTGTTGGAGAGAGGCAGCGGAGTGAGGGGGCGGAGCGGGGCTTGTGCGCAAGACAGAGAGGGAGGGTTTGAGAGGGAATGGACCGCTCAGGCTCAAAAAAGGGACTGGCAACCAAACGCCCCAAAGCCCCCGTGAAGAAAAATGTGGGACCATATGACAAAACTGGACATTCATAAGTCTATGGGCCCTGATGGGATGCACCCGCGAGTACTGAGAGAGCTGGCAGAAGTTATCGCTGGGCCGCTCTCTATCGTCTTTGAAAAGTCATGGAGAACAGGAGAGGTGCCTGAGGACTGGAGGAAGGCCACTCCAGTCTTCAAAAAGGGCAAGAAGGAGGATCCTGGTAACTACAGACCAGTTAGTCTCACCTCTGTCCCTGGGAAGATAATGGAGAGACTCATTCTAGATGTCATCTCCAAACAAGTTGAAGAACGGGGGGTTATTGGAAGTGGACAACATGGGTTTACCAAGGGTAAATCATGTATGACCAATCTGATAGCCTTCTATGACGTTATAACTGGTTGGTTGGATGAGGGGAGGGCAGCAGATGTCATCTACCTTGACTTCAGCAAGGCTTTTGACACTGTCTCCTATAACATCCTCATTGGGAAACTGAGGAAGTGTGGGCTGGAAGAGGTGGATTGAGAACTGGCTATGCGACAGGACCCAAAGGGTAATGATTAATGGAGCAGGTTCAAGCTGGAAGCCTGTAACCAGTGGTGTCCCCCAGGGGTCAATACTTGGTCCGGTGCTGTTCAATATATTCATCAATGACCTGGACGAGGTCAAGTTTGCTTGGTCAAGTATCCTCAGCGAGTGAATCCTGGGCTGCGTAGGAAAGAGTGTGGCCAGCAGGTCGAGGGAGGTCGTTCTCCCTCTCTACTCTGCACTGGTGAGGCCACAACTGGAATACTGTGTCCAGTTCTGGGCTCCCCAGTTCAAGAGGGACAGGGAACTACTGGAAAGAGTCCAGCGAAGGGCAACAAAGATGATTCAAGGACTGGAGCATCTCCCTTATGAGGAGAGGCTGAAAGAGCTGGGACTCTTTAGTCTGGAGAAGAGAAGGCTGAGGGGAGTTAATGCCTACAAGTATCTCAAGGGCGGGCTGAGGGAGGAGGGAACCCGACTCTTTTCAGTAGTTCCCAGTGAGAGGACAAGGGGCAATGGGCACAAGTTGGGACATAAAGGGTTCCACTTGAATATGAGGAAGAACTTTTTCACGGTGAGGGTGACGGAGCCCTGGAACAGGCTGCCCAGGGAGGTTGTGGAGTCCCCTTCTTTGGAGATTTTCAAGACCCGCCTGGATGCAGTCCTGAGTAACATGCTCTGACAAGCTCTGGGTGGTCCTGCTTTAGCAGGGGAGTTGGACTAGATGATCTCTATGGTCCCTTCCAACTCTAAAAATTCAGTCAAATTCAGTGAAAATATCTTTTCAAATCTGGATTTTGTTACCTATATAGCGCTTGGCCCGTCTATAGCTAAAATATATAGATCTCAAGTGGAAATAGGTGTTTATGGGTTTGGGGTTTTTTTCTTCTTCTTCCTTTCTTAAGGGTGTTTTTTTTTATTTTTAGAAGGGCTACCCTAGCCTTGTCCTGAAAGTTTGAGGTAGAAACCTGTAAAGGATGGACAGGCAGATTAGGCAGTCGAGATATGCCTTCTCTCTTAACTGTGAAAATCCTTTAATATTCTTCAAAAGCTAATCCTGTAGGCCTCAGAAGAATTAGGATGGGGCAGTGATAAGCAGTAGCAATGGCTTTTTAACTGTGTGCCAGGCCCATGTGGGAAGAGATGGAGGCACTTAGTGTACCACTTGTGGATTGTTTGTGCTTGGTAGCCCCTGACCTACACAGTCTGAACAGATGAGATACCTGGAGCAGGTCTTTTTTGTTGTACAGTGGCAAAACTGAGGGGGACTCTGTAAGTGTAGGGAAGGGACAACTATGGATTAGATTAATGGGAACTGTGTTTTACACTGTGCATGTATTGCCTGAGTTTCAGTTAACTGGTTTTGTGGGAGTTTTGAATTCTGTGACTTTGTATACTCAGACATGGAAATGAAAACAGAGAATAAACAGTGAAAAGCAGGACAAATGAAATGGAGGCTGGAGAGAGTTTGGAAGAAATAATATTAAATAGAGTTTATAATTTCAAATCTAAATAAATTGGATTAATAAGTGTTTAATAATATGCTAGTAAACAAATTTCAAATAACCAAGCAATTTGAAAGTAAAAAAAAAAAAGAAAAAAGGTGACTGCATGTTTTTTGTAGTTAAATGTTTAATGCAATGGGGAACCTGCTGATATGCTTTGCTTTCTCTCCACTTTTCCAGGAAACGAAGGCTTATCAGTGCTAGCTGACAAAGTGGCATCACAAATGAGCCATTCTGCAAGTATGCAGAGAGGAAATGGTCATAGCCCTGAAAAAATGGATTTTGCATTTTCACATAATAAAAGAAAACGTCTTGCCCCTACTCTAGTGGGACAGAATGTGGTATGTTTTGCCAAACAGTACCTCTTTGTTTTGAGGCCAGTTTCAATGTTATTGGGAATGTCATTTTTCCTTCACTTTTGTATGCTCACTTGATGACATGCCAGTGAAGAAGTGTGGGTAGGATATCTGTGTAGTGCGTGGAAGCTTCTAGCAGGACTAAGACCTTGTTGTGCTGGTTGCTGTCCATGTGTATGACAACAGCTAGTGTACAGCGGAGAGTAACGTCTACTAATTTCCCATGTAGATGCTCGTATTTCTTCAGTAAAAATCTCTTTGTGCAGTTTAGGATAATAAGAATTGAAACTTAACGTTGCATAAGGATTTGCCTCCTTGAACAAATTCTGTGCAAAGACAGACTACGTATGATTTTAACTTCAGGCAGTCTAAAACTTGGTTCACATCACCGTATTTAATTCTTAAATTTCAGCAATTGGGGTGTCTTAAATGCTATAAAAGCAGTTCCACTCTTTAATTCTGCCTGTTGTAAAACAAACAAACCCAACATCCCCCACACCGCCAACATTGCTTTTTTAAAACAAGACATGGTTAAAGATGACTTAATTAAAAATCAAAACAACAACTAACAAAAAAACCTAACACAAGACAAGACTCATTAAATCTGCGATGTATGGTGGACAGGCAGTGCTCCCATCCAGTAAAAGAAAAATGTTAGAATTGTCCATGTGGTGGCACTGTTGATTGCTGTCTAAAAGCACTTTTCAAGCAATAAGAAAGTTATGCCTTTTAGGTATTTTTCTGCATGCAGTTATAGCCATTGAAATAAATACACTTTTTTTTTCTTAAATTGATTTTTTTTTTAAATTACTGTACAAATCTACATGGAGTCTCAATTGTATAAGCCTGGTTACAGGCTTAGATATGTTATATATGTAATATACATATATTTACATGAGAAAGTTCTGGTCTTAGAATTACCAAATAAAAATACATATTATTATATAATACTCTTAAAACAAACGTGAGATGAGTATTCATATAACCACAGGCATATCAATGAGATGACTGTGTTAAGTTTCACTTTCTTGGGCTCTTTTGTAGCCAGGCAAGGGAATATAACTACAACTGAAAGTGTCTAAATTGGATTCGTAGTAGCTTGTCTCTGTAGTTTATATTTTCAATTCTTTATTATTCAGAACATTGAAAATTCTTTGTTATTTCCCAGATGAGAATCAGGGAAGGAGAATATGAAGATAGTGATGGTGTCATTTACGAGTATGAACCAGACTATGAATGTGTAAGTTAGTTTTCTTTTGTTTGACTGACTTTGGAAAGCTGCTTTGGGGATGCATGTTTTGGGGTAGATTAAAATAATGTGACGTTTTGAAGTTGGGATTTATTGTCTTAATGTGATATCCTAAGACTGTTTATGTATCTTTCTCTATTATTTTAATGAAAAAGGGGAGTATTGTGTCTGAAGCTTCCTACACTGAAGCCTCCTACACTGGAGATCAGCAGAAAACTCTTGCGGAGGTCCTCAGTTATTGCCAGGTATTTTTTTTTCTTTATCTTTAAATGGCATTTAAACAGTTTTAGTTTCAAGAGATATGTGTTCTATGTTTGATAACCTATGACTTCATCCTTTCCAGTTGTTCATTTGTTAGTTGCTCACTTCAATATTTTCAATGCAAAAATAATGTCCTTTTTCATATTCTCTGAACTTTTCACACCATTGCTGGCAAGAATACTTTTCAAATATTAAGCTTTAATATAAAATGTAAAGTCTAGTGATTTACTGGGAGGGGCTTCACAGTTATGGGAAAGATCTGACTGTCATACACACAGAACTTTTGAAAGTACACAAAGCCTGCCAAAAGTGTGCCAAAATTCTGGTAGTGTTGCAGTAGCTGACAATACGGAAAATCACTGCACTGAAAATGAAAAGTATCCCATATTTAACCAGGTGAGCCCTTATGTGACTCTGGAGTGACAGTATCCTATAGAGTGAAAGACATTCAGGCCATGGTTTAGGGAGGATAATTTGTGGGTGGTTTGTAGCCAGGTATTAATGCCTTGTAAGGCATTAATACCTGTACAGCATGTACTGTCCATGCTGATTTAAGGTCTTTTAGTGCTTCCTTGAGGTATTTCTAAATTTGGGAAGATTTATAGATTCTTCTGTCTAAGGATATTTAATTTTTTTAAAATAGTGAAATCCAACTTGATAGAATTTCAAATTATTTTCGTCTACTACAAATCCATCTAGCAAATTTTTTTTCTCTGCCTAGTTATGCTGTAGATCAACAAAAGAAATTGCTGTAGTTAGTGGAAGACACATTTCCTCTTTGTAACTTGTATACTTATAATGTCTTTGTGTGTTTTTTTGCAGTAATAGCTGATGACAGGTGCCTGATACGTATTTTCAAGTTGTCAGTGTCCTTTCAATACCAGATTAACATTCTGTTATCTAATTCCTTTTTACACAAAGTGTATGTCTGAATTACTGTGTAAGCATCATGTTTGAGTTGGTAAATCCTGGAAACACTGAAGAATGAAATTTCTATATTGCACAGTAATAAGCAGTAATAACTGATGGACTTTGAATGCTTTGACTTAAGTCATTCATGTCTGAAAAATTGGGCCTTTACAATGATACTTTAAAAAAGTTTGTACCTGATTGCTTTAGTAAGGCAACACAAATTTTTGACATCTGAAAGAAATCTTGACCATGGGAATTGACTTAAGGTCAGACACTCTCAATAAAAGAAGTAGATTTTTTCAAATTCTTTATCTTTCATTCTGTGATTATTAAAATGTGGATGCAATTGATTTCAATGCCATATTTGTTCTGAAAGGCATGGCTGAGTTGATTTCTCTATACCTCATTTACATCTCATTTTCACAGAATCCCAGGATGGTTGAGGTTGGAAGGGACCTCTGGCGGTCATCTTGTCCAACCCCCGTACTGAAGCAGGGCCACGTAGAGCCCAGGATCATGTCCTGATGGCTTTTGAATATCTCTAAGAAGGGAGTCTCCACAGCCTCCCTGGGTAACCTGTGCCAGTGCTCAGTTACTGTCATGGTAAAAAACTGTTTCTGATGTTCAGAGGGAACCTCCTTGGTTTCAGTTTGTTCCCACTACCTCTGGTCCAGCCTCTGGGCACCTCTGAAAAGAGCGTGGTTCTGTCCTCTTTACATCCTCCCTTCAGATATTTGCGTGCATTGATGAGAATCACCACTGAGTTTTCTCTTGTCCAGACTGAACAATCCCAGCTTCCAGCCTTTCCTTATAGGAGAGATGCTCCTGTCCCTTCATCACCTTCATGGCGCTTTGCTGGACTCTCTCTTATATGTCCATGTCTCTGCTGTGCTGGGGAGCCCAGAACTGGATCCAGCACTCCAGGTGCAGCCATACCAGTGCTGAGAGGAGGGATAACCTCCCTTGACCCGCTGGCAATACTTTGCCTAATTAAGCCCAGGGTAGCATTAGCCAACTTTGCAGCAAGGGCACATTGCTGGTTCATACTCAACTTAGTAACCACCAGGAGATCCCAGGTCCTTTTCTACCAAGCTGCTTTCAAACTAGGTGGCCCCCACCATGTACTGGTGCCTGGGATTGTTCTTCCTCAGGTGCAGAACTTTGCACTTCTTGATGAACTTCAAGAGGTTCCTGTTGGCCCATTTCTCCTGCCTGTTGACATCTGTCTGGATCACATCATGACCCTTGCTGGTCTGGTGTCATCTGCAGATTTGCTAAGGGTACGCAGTCCTCCAAAATTCAGATCATTAATGAAGATGTAAAACAGGATTGGACCCAGTATTGATCCCTGGGGTACTCTACTGTTTACTGGCCTTCATCTAGGCTTCTTGCTGATGATCACCACTCTCGGGGCCTGGCCATTCGACTAGTCTCAATCCACCTCACTGTCTGCTCATCCAACCTGTACACCAGCAGCTTCTCTGTGAGGATCTTATGGGAGACAATGTCAAAGGCCTTCCGTAAATCCAGGTAGACAATATCCATTGTTCTATTTTCACCAATCAGGCCAGTCATTTTATCGCAGAAGTTTATCAAGTTGGTCAACCATGACCTCCCCTTGGTGAAGCCATGCTGTGACTGCTCCTGGTGGTATTCTTGTCATTTGTGTGCCTGGAAATGGTTTTCTTCCCAGGGATGGAGGTGAGGCTGACTGGCCTGTAGTTCCCTGGGTCCTCTTCCTTGTCCTTCTTCAAGACAGGAGTGACATCTTCTTTCATCTAGTCTTGGGGCACTTCTCCCGTTCACCATGATCAACCAAAGGTGATCAGGAGTGGTATCACAATGATGTCAGCCAGCTCCCTCAGCACTCGAGGGTACATCCCATCAGGCCCCTTGGGTTTAGTGCGCATCCAGTTTGCTTAAGTGTTCCCTGACCAGATTCTCTTCCAGCCAGTGTGTCTTCCTTGCTTCAGCCTTTCCCCCTGGCCTGTGGGACCTGGGATTCCTGAAGGCTCATCTTGCTAGTAAAGGCTGAGACAAAGATGGCATTGAATCCCTCAGCCTTTACCATGTCCTGTGTCACGAGGTCCCCCGTCTCATTCAGCAGTGGACCCACATTTTCCATAGCCTTCCTTTTCTCACCTATGTAGTTGCAGAAGCCCTTTTGTTGTCTTTGGCATCCCTAGCCATGTTCAATTCCCGTTGGGACTTCTACTTTACAGATAGTATTTTTCTAAACATATTTCCCTTTGGTGATACAGAAATCAATATTTTGGTGGCTGCCTATGAGCCTTTTACCTGTGTACTTGAAAACCTATTATGACTTAAAATAGCATATCATAATACCTAACTTACCTGAGAGCTTGTCAGTAGCTTTCCAATGTAAAACAAAGCATACTAAATAGGTAAAAATAAAACATCTGCTGCAAGCAGGAAGAACAACCTTTAAATGCCAGCCACATTACAGTCACAGGAATAAGCTTCTCTGAGAATTCTTTTACTGTGATATTTGCCTCTGTTATTTGTGTTTCGAATCTCAGCTGATCTTTAATATGCTTCCAGAATGTATATAGTATCTACAGATCTTACCCAGTTTTAGGGAGCGAATTTTGCCCTTAATTGAACTTTCTTGATTTCTCCAGATTTAAATTGGGTTCTTGTGAAATAATACTATTTTCACTCTCATATTTGTTCTCAGGCCATGTATGATGCCATTCAGAAATTGGATAAAAAATTTGACCTGCTTCATCGGAAGGTCTCAGAAATGCAGCATACTCGTCTAAAGCCACTGTTTCTCAAACCTGTGAGTATTAAAGACCCAAGATACTAATTTTTCCTTTAATTCTCACACTTCCTCTAATGCTGATTTAAAAAGAAAAAATAAAATTTTCTCCTTTCACTAAGATTAAAACTAGTAGAAAAGTAGTATACTTAAAATCCATTGCAGTTAAATTATTCTAGGTTTCTTATTATATGCCAGCTTTGGTCTCCTGTGTTGTTACTGACCATTGGTTTCTGCAGTTAGAAGAGAGTTCAGGCATAATTCACATAGAATTGTTCAATTGGCTAACTGATTTTTAGATCTCAACACTGTGTTGCTGTATCCATTACGGTATAGAATTGTACTTTTTTTAATAAAAAGCTTTTTTTTCAAAATTTTAAAGGCGGCTTGATATTCAGTACACATTTTGTTCCCATATGGTCAATCCAGTATTGACAAAGGAGAGAGAATATTAGTACTTGTAACAATGCTCTTTAAAAGGAAAACATAACAGACGATTTTTGAAGAAGGTCATAAAATCCATAATGACCTTTCTTTGTGAATGATACTGCAAAGCTTTTAATGTGGCAAAGGTGATCCTGCTGTCAGAAGATGTCAAGACATCAGTAGGGCCATTTGTTTTAAGGGTGGGTAAAAATTCATGTCAGTTATCAATAGGATTCTAGGTTTTATTTGGGAATATTTTCATTGACATCTCCAAACTCACACTGTCCGTACATCCAAAAATACGAGATTCAGGGAATAAACTGGTCTTGTCAGCTGTGCTTGGACTCTCTGACCCTCTGCTCTTACCCTCCCTCTGATCATGTGGGATGGCAGCAGCTTTAATGTTCAGATTAAAAGTGACCTGCCTAGTTTGGGTTTATTTTGAAGAAGGCTTTTATCTCACCATGAGGTGTAAGGGGGAAGCCAGCAAATGCAACCTCGCAACCATTTTCTTAGGTTCTGCTAGAACTTTATGTTAAAACCATCAGGAATGCTGTAGGTTTTTTTATAGCTGTATCATTGTTATATCTGTGATGCGCTAAGGTATAAATAAGGAAAGGTTGGTTGTAACAGTACGATTTCTTTTATTAGCTCAACTCCAGTAGCCACAGAAATGGACAAACTTTCAGACACATAAACCTTTCTTCAGGTTGTAGATTTTTTTAAAGATTATAAGGGTAAAATATAATCAGATTTTTTTAAACAGAACAAAAAAAATCGACAAAAGATAAAAAGAAAACCAAGCAAACCCATGAGTGTCAGCTACATTTGGTAGCTCCTGCTCAGTGACTTCTATATGTTGAACTAGAATGCATGCTTTGGGGTGCATATATTTCATAATACAAGTTCTCCAAATGATGGAAAGCATAGCCCATCTCTGTCTGCCTTAGTCTCTTTGGAATCTTCCATTGTAAATGAGATCTGAATGTTTAATGTTTTCAGTTAGCAAGTAAAGAGTGAAGACGCAGACAGGCGAAATCCCTTGAAAATTCAGCAGACTAGGTCAATGGCTGACAAACTTTAAATTTTATTTTGCCTATTTTTTTAATAGAGCTTTTTAAAAGAGCCTTTACAAAGCTGCCTTTCTCATTATATATCTCTGGCTTTCTTAGAAAGTAATTTTGCCAGCACCCCAGGTGGAAAAACTTGAGAAATATTGAAGCTGATGAGATAAGCTTCTAGTGTTGGAACTACAAGTGAGAATAAAGAAGTAGAGGGAAGGCAAAAAAGTAATAGCACTGGCTTTATGACAATGATTACTTCAATGAAGAGTCCGTTGCCAATAGCATAATTACTAAGATCTAGTCTTCCTGGTTTGCAACAGGAAAAAATAACCAGATATGTCTAATTTAACCTTTTAATTGTTTTCTGAATCACATTTGCAGAAACCAGTTGGATTTACATACAGAAGTTCCAGTCATTTGCCCCAAGGCAAAACAAGGCTACAAAGATCCATGGAAAAGGAATCAAGTCTTCATCTCTCTTCACCAGGCCTGGAAAGGCATAGCCCAGTCATAAGGGTTGCTTTACAAAACGGCCATGTTCAGGTCAATTCCACAATAAAACATGTTCAGCAGAGCCTTCAGCTTGAATCACAGCAGCCTGTTCACAGGCAGAGCCCACCACTCCCCACTATAGTTTCTACGCATTCATTGCATTCATCATACACAGCAAATAACAGGATGCCTGACCTTTCTCCACAATCAGATCTTGTAGCTGATGTTGTGGAAAGTACTTGCAATATTGCATCTTCACCGGTGGCATCATCATCAATGCCAGCACCATCTGAAACCAGTTTGGGAAATAATGCTGTAGCCATTAACTACAGAAATGCATCTGGGAGTGTGAACATCAGTAAAGAGCTACCATCTTCTTCAGTCTCCATCAATCCTAGCTTTGGTGAGTTCCTTTGTAATAAATACTCAGAAGCGAAGACTAAAAAACTGCTGTTGGTATAAAGAAATGTGCCTAAAGAAATCTCTTAATCATTATTTGCTAAAAGTAAAGGAGCAGGACTGGCTGCCTTACAAGCATTTCTATAACGGAATAGTGTTTAAAACTCTTGAAATAAAGGTCACAAGAATGTTTAATATGATCACTTAAAAATCTCTGCAGTGTATATACAGTTGTATAGACTGCCACAAGACTTTGATTTACAGTACGTGCTTTGGGTTCTTTTAAGGCTAGGCCCTCTTTTTCTCTCTTCATACTCTTGATATACACAGGTTACAAATAGGTTATATGTCGTAAGTAATGTGTGCACGCTATGCATGTGTTTAAAAAGAGATTGGCAGTAAAGCTGAGATATATGCCTGTATACGTTTTGCATTTAAGAAAATAACTTTTTTGTGTGAAGGAAATAGCTGTTTTCTTCTTGTGGAGGATTTTATCGGTGAAAAATCCTTTCTATCCTCACATCCTGCAGTGTTTGGTTTCTTTCAAAATACTGAAATAGCTGTTTTCTTCTTGTGGAGGGTCCTTTCTATCCTCAGATCCTGCAGTGTTTGGTTTCTTTCAAAATACTTATTTCCACCAAAAATAAAGAATTCCATAGATCATTGCATTATAATAAACAAGCATGTATAAAATAGCACCATGTTTTAAAAACTCAGGCATTTCTTTCTGAAGTATAAGCGCCCTGAGTTACTTGGAAGACTGAGCTAGAAGTTTTTGGTTGCTTTTGGCCTGAAAAATAAATTCATACTGCTCAAGAGCTGCACGAATAGTAGGTGAAATACCAGGATAACTATCTGAAAATTTGTAAACAGTGTATGGTTTAGCACTACTATGTATTGATATGCCATTCTTCATGGGTCATTGTCTTGAAAACATACATGGCATCTGCACATGCGTAAAATTTTGGACTCTCATGTGTCTAATGTATTTTCTTGGGTGTTGTTATTTCAGTTAGTTATATTGGTGGTTAATACGACTCAAAAAGATATTTCTGTTACCATTTCAATTCAAAGCTGCTTTTGTAAGATCAAGGATAAGTAATACATAGAACTAACTTTAGTAGAGAACATATAACAAGAGTACCACAGTGGTTATGAGAGAGTTTGAAAAAGTGTTCTTTTTTTTTTTTTAACAACTTGCTTGGGTTTTTTTAACTCTTTTTCTTTAAATGTTTTTGTTTTGCAAAAGAGTTTGTCGGTGACCCAGTGAGAAATGTAAAAGTTCTTGGAAACTATTTGATGAAAGCTCGGCAAAAGACTAAGCCAAAGTACGCAGCACGCTACTTAGTTCGTGTCTTGTTCCCCAAGGAAACGTTATTGTGCAGCATTATGGGAGTGAGCGCACGAGGGCGCAGAACATTGGATCCAAACAAAATTGCTGCAATAAGAGGTATGCTGTTTTTCAAAATGTTCAGATTTGCTTCTTTAATACTGAACGAAGTTTCTGACTTGCAAGGAGCCCTTTTCTGTATGTTTCTGCTAATCGTTGTCTAGCAGCTGGTGAACTGATCAATGCAGTAGTGGATGTGCTCCACTCAGCTCTATCTTTTGGTTTTGAAATTCCTGCTTTGTAATTCTCAATGCTAGTTTTTCTTCAATGTGGATAAAACAATTCTGATTTTCTCCTAGTTTTGTGTTGTTCATGTTTGTCAGTCATGCTGACCGTTTCTAAGTTTTTCATTATAATTTATTTCATGTTTGTGTGTGAAATGGGTTTTGTGGGTTTTTTTGTTTGTTTCAGTTTTTGTTTGGGTTTTTTTTTATGGCCATGGTACACTTGGGACAAATATTAACTGGTGATTTTTAAATACTCTTTCTCTTAAGTTCACTTCACTTGTTTGCTTGAGAAATGGTCAAAACAGGGAAGGTGTTTTCTTAAAGATGTCAAGCCATTTACACCGATCCCATGGCACATGTGTTTGAAACTATGCATCTCCTTCCTATTTAAAGGGTGGGAGATTGTTTAAGCCATGTGATGTAGTTGCAGCATTACCCTGTCTCTGGTTCTTGTGGGGGTTTTTTTGGTTGGATTTATTTTTTTTTAAGTTGGCATGATAAATCGCAGCTTTGCCCTAAGTGTACTAGGAAATGCTTAATAATAAAAGCATTATTCACAACACCTCAAAAAAGTATCACTGTGCGTCTTAAATTCATAGTACTGCTCAGCTTCAAAACCTGAGTTTTAATTAATTAAAGCTGAAAATATAAAGCTTCTAAATGGAACAGTAAATGTGAAATATTTCTTGGCTTTCTCTCTTTCTTTCTAAATAAGAATACTTTTGAACACTGCATTTTGTCACAAAGCTTAAAAACTTTTCTATGTTTTATATGCAGAATTTCTTGCAACTAACTTTCCAAACTATGATTTGAGCGAGCATGGAAAAGACTGGAAAACCTGTATCACAAATGTCAATGCTATGATCCGCTGTTTACGCTCTGAAACAAAAATAAAACCAGTAAGTTGTCTCAAGGTGATAATTTATTAAGTACTAAGTTTGTGCTGCTTTCTTAAATTAATTATTTGAACTCCTCATCATATGAGTGCTCTAATTGGAAATTGCTTGGGTTCTGTCTTTGCATTGCCCAGCAGAGGCCTGCTGACTGCAGCATTAGTTCCATATGGGCAATACAGGAAGCATATCCCTTTCTCTTGCTCTGCCTCTTCCTGCTCCTGTGTCCAGTATCCAGTTAAGAAATGTATAAGCATAGGATACTAAAAGGAAAGTGTCCTGGTTTGAGGTAAAACAGAACCAATTTTCTGTTCAGTAATTTTACTTTGCAGCTAAGCCTCTTCTAACTGAGCTGTAAATGTTGCCCAGAAGTAGTGTCAAATTTGATTGTGAGCTTAAACATGTAGGTACTAGCACTGTTTTCACAGGCTTTCCTTCAGATATATCCAGCCAAGCATTTCAACTTTATATTGACTTAAACATCACTCCCAAAACAACTCCATTTACCTCTGCTTCTAAAAAGCTTTGTGCAAATCTTTGAATATTTAGTTTCTGTTTCACCTGTCGTTTTCATGATTGAAATTCAGAAGTAGCTATATTCTAAATATCTGGAATCTAATTTATACTAAACAGGAAATGAACTGGAACGCTAATTAGAAAACTGATAGGCTTCTCCCAGTGCATGTGCTAACCTCATTTAATGTTTCAGGAGACAGCTGAAGGGAAAGAAATAGCGGCTGTTGCTCCAGATACATCTCATTGTGTAGATTTAAATTATAATGAAGATAGTGAAGGCAATTCTCAAAACTCTCAGAAAATTACCAGCTCCGTAACTGACACGTTGCAGAATTCAGGACTGGATAAGTTTCCAGAAGCTTTCCACACATCTTCGGTCAAGAAACTGCAGTCCTTGGAACCTATGGGTAAACTAAGAAATCTTCATCTTATGGATTTGTTTGTTACATTTTAAATGCTCAGCAGAAGATGCTACTGTAGGTGAAATTGTGTAGAAAAGGGATTTGCTGAACTATGTGACTCTTCTTCTCCTCTTAAGACAGTCAATTGGTATATATATAGTATGTCTTCATGGGAGCAAACAAGAACATTATCTGGCTAAACAGAACATGTGTCTGCATCTACCAATGTCCCATTAATGCATATCCACTCTAAGACTGGAAAGTTCAGCTGTAAGATATTTTGTTCAGTTTCTCTGAATAATTCTTTTTTCAGGAGTTATTTCACAGTTAACCTGTCTTTTTTATTTGGGAGATACTCTACCTTAATGGAGTGAGCTAGCTCAGAATATCTATTGAATGGTATTGCAGTTTCAGAAGAAAAGCACACCTTTCTGTAAAACTGACAATTTAGGACAATAAAAATCATAGAATCACAGAATAGTTGGGGTTGGAAGGGACCTTTAAAGATCATCTAGTCCAACCCCCTTGCAATGAGCAGGGACATCTTCAAGTAGATCAGGTTGCTCAGAGCCCTGTCTGACCTGATCTTGAATGTTTCCAGGGATGGGGCATCTACCATTTCTCTGGGAAACCTGTGCTGATGTTTCACCACCCTCAGTGTAAAAAATGTCTTCCTTATATCTACTCTAAATCTCTCCTCTCTTAGAACAAGGGGTAACGGCTTTAAACTATCACAACAGCCCTGCTAAAAACTTTGTCCTCCTCTTTATGTCCTTTTAAGTACTGAAAGGCCGCCAAAAAAGATACCTTAAAGCAGTCTTTATACTTTTTTTTTTAAAACAAAAATACATTGGAAAAAATTCCATGTACAGCATGTGATGCCTCTAGAGAGCTTCAAGGAAAATGAGCTGAGATTAGTTGCCCTTTGAAATAATTTATTTGATTAGAGTCACATTGGTGCTCTGTCAGGTCTGCTCCTGCACCCAAGACTTGTTAGACTTATCCCACAGACCTCCTGATTTACTATACATTTTGCATTTTATTTTTTTTAGTGTTTGCAGTGGAGCCAGATTGAAGTAGTTAAAAATACTCACTCTGTTTTTCAGTTTCCACTTACAGAATCTAAGCACCATCGAAATAGAAGAACTTCTATTTACCTATGTAATTGGAATAACATCATCTTTTCACGTGAGATGAAAATAATTTAGAAAGTAGTCATTAATAATGCAGGTTACGTTGCTAGCATTGCTGAAAGCATATCAGAAGTGATGTTACATTGTCTAAAACAGGCAGGGGTTTTTTTGCTACCTGGAAATTTTCTGCGATATGTTGCATTTTAGTATTAGCTGTAGAGTTATGTTTTTGCTTCAGTTTTTCCAAGCAAATAACAGTAGTTTTGGGGAGAACTTTTTGTGTTGATGTTATAACTTTTTGTCTTAATGTAATATACAGGCACTTTGAAGCATGGTCAGTATAGGATAAATGAAATTTCTCTCTCTCTCTCTGACACACTTTCTAGAACTTCTTGGAAGTCCGTGGCGCAATGTTCAGTTGCCTTTCTCAGTCATTTATGTAGCTAAGGGGAAGTCTCGGCCAGAGCTGTCAGCTCGCTACCTAATTCGTCACATGTTCACTGAAGATGTGCTGGTAAAAAGCAATGTATATGGTAATCTTGAACGTGGCATGAGCCCACTCGACTGCAACAGAATTAATGCTCTCAGAGGTAAGTAAGAAAATCTCTGTTCAAGTGATAATGTGGGGAAATTAACAAGAGTAATTAACTTGTATCCTATGAACAAACCATGGAGCTTCAGAAATAGGTCTGTGAAGCTATTCTGACGTGTATTGGTGTAAGCAAGTTGAGAGAAAGTAGATGAAGTTACATTTAAGCATCTCAAGGAAGTCTACAGATCACAAACCCAATTCATGTGAGGGAACTCAGTCTCCATGGCATGTGCTTGAAAGGACAACACAGTGGGAGATGGAAGCAGTCTGGAGGATTCTGGAGGGTGTTGGGGATAATTTCTTCATACAGGGGCTAGGTAGGCCAACCAGAGGTAATACACAGCAGGTTATGCCTCCCTTCAAAAAAAGGGTTGGGGTATGATAAATGGTGGCAGTATTGCCTGTAGAGACCATGAAATAATGGACCTCAAGATCCTGAGTAGAGTTAAAAAGGTCTGAGAGTACAGGCTGTGCAGCTTAGGAGAGCTGACTTTGGCCTATTTATGAAACTTGTAGGTGGGAGTTTGCGAGACAGCTCTGAAGAGGAGAGAAGCTCAGGAAAGTTGGCAGGTCTTTAAAGACAGCATTCTGCAAGCACAAGAGAGTCCATCCTGACGCTTAAGAGAACTAGTAGAGTTATGGGGAGACAAGTTTGGCTAAGCAGGGATTCCATAACTGAGCTCCAGTGCAAAAAAGCAGTATATAGAGATTGGAAGCAGGGACAGCTTATGAAGTGGAATTTAGCACCTTTGCCTAGGAGTGTTGGAGCAGTGTCAGGAAAGCCAGCAGCTCAGCTAAAGTTGAGACTTGCAAGGAATGGCAAGGGCAGCAAGATCAGCTTCTACCACAACATTAATCATAAAAGATCGAGCAAGGGGAGCATGCTCAGAGGGTAGTGGGTCATGCTCTACTTGGGAGACTGACACATGAGGTACTGCAGGGGTCTGTCCTGGTAGCTGGCCTGTTCAACATCTTTGTCTATGACTTGGAGAGAACGGAGAACACTCGTCAGGTTTGTGTTTGATAGCAAATTGGGACTGTATTAACAGGTGCACAGCCAATATATCAAGGGAAAGGGTTATCTCCCTTTTTTTAGTACTCATGAGTGTGCATTTGGATTATTGCATCCAATTTTGTGTCCTCTAGTACAAGAAAGAGATATCGATAAAGCTGGAGGGCCACCAAAAGGGATGGGAAATTAAAGCACTTGCCCAGTGAGGAAATTGATGTTACTCTATTTGCAAATGCTATTCCAGAAGCAGAGAGAGGGTATATTATGGTTGGAGTTGTAGCAGATGTTTTGCCTTCTGTATTGTTCTTGCTTCAGCATTAAGACTTCTGGAATACTGATCCATGCTCTTTCCTGAGAGGGAGTCTTCTGTTAGTCTTGTTCAGTTGTTCCTGCAAGGCTGGATAAAGCAAGCAGAACTATGACAGTAGAATTAACTTAACAGTTACGCAGCAAGCGAGGAGGAATGTGAAACAGATTGTAGGTAGAAAAGGCATATGGGTTATTACACAGAAGAAAACTTGGCATTATCTGGTAAGATTTAAGCGTGGCCAGCACAAACAATGGTGTTGGGGAAAAGATCATCAGGTTTTTGGGGGCCATTTACTCTGTGGCTATTACAGTATCTTAAGAGAGTTCAACATATTTGAAAAGGTTTGGTCCTGCAATATAGAAGTCTTTCCACCTTTCCTTTAGTTGTCTGTGTTCTTGTCTTATTTTTCATTGTGAAAGCTGGCTTTTTGTATGAGAAGCCTGAAGAGAAAATACCTTGCCAGGAATTCTGAAGTTTTGCTTGTGGAATGTTATTTACTGGGCTGGATCCCAGGCTGCAGACAGGGTAATAGTGGAGTGCCTTCAACATATCCCAACACTACTGGCTTGATGTGGCATTTTACTTCTTCCTGTGTCCTTATGAAATCCCTCTGGGATAGTGTTCACTGGGTTAGTAAAGCTGCTTATTTGACTAGTTATCCTCATCTGGACACCACTTTTAGTCGTATGATTCAATTTTAGGTAGTCCTGCGAGGTGCAGGGAGTTGGGCTCGATCCGAATTGGGATACGCTATGATTCATCACACTTTTTTGCAATGTGCATCTCCTAACAAATCTTGAAACTGCTTCTCCTCCATGTCTGGAGGTGTAGGGAGGTTGAAAGGGTTGTTAAGATCTGGACAGTGCTGCCTAACAGCTCCGCAGGTGTGGCAAGATTGCCTCTGAGGATACAGCAATAGTGCTAGATGAGATGGAGCTGGGACTTGCCCTCTGGGGTGATGTCTGGGCAGGTCATGCTAGAAACCATTTCCAATATGGCAAGACTGTATGTAAGAGTGGGCTTTCCCAAACTGTACGTATTCCTTAACCCCTAGCCTGGGAAGCTTTGCCACTTCCAGTGTCTCCACATACTCCCATAGTATACGTGTTTTGTTTCATGATGTTTTGAGCTTAAGAAGCATTTAAAAGATGTATTAAGTGTGTCTTAGGGCTGCAGGAACACCACATAGGCTCCAGAGCAAATGAGAGACAAAGTCCTTGGTGTGGGGTTGCAGCCAGGCCATGTCACTTGGCTCTGGGGCCGGAAAGCAGTACCTGGCCCTGTTTTTGTTAACATTATAACATAGCCTGACTGGATGGCAGCAGCATCACGTCCCTGAATGTAACCCTACAGAGCAGGAAGGGGCCCTGCGTAGCCTTTCTGTAGTCCCAACAGTTGGTCAATTCGTGTGAAAGAAAAAGCGTAATTTAAAAACTGTTTCACGGGGCATGTACAAAAGCTCTGTGGGCCTGGTAGTGGGAATTCCTGTTACGTGCTGTAGCTCTGAGGCCAAGCATTTTCTTGAATTTGCTCTCAGGGGTGGAGGGGAAGAAAACCTGGCTGCTGTTTCAGCCAACAGCTTGTGTATCCGCTGTCAGCATAGTTTATTGCAGGAGCATCCTGGGAATGAAAGAACCTAAGGCGTTCTCGCTTCCTGCCTCACCCGCCTGGAGCAGAGCAAACTGCAAGCACACGAGTTTTTCTCTCTGTTATTATTCTTCCTTGAGACCCATGCTCTTCTGGAAAAACAGGTTTCCTGGTTTGGATCTACAAGTTAAAATATCTACTGTAAACAACGATACCGTATTAGATTTTTACTTGCTAGGATATGTGAGAGCAATGGAAGAACAACAATATCAACTATCTATACCTTTCAATCTACGAAGGTAAATCTAGATATTAATCAGAGAAGTAGAAATAGGATTGCCTTTGATTTGAAATTACAGCTAGCAATTCCTTATTGTTGCTTACTTAAGTCTTTTAGGGGATTGCTTAGAGACAACATGTGATTCAGCTAAGCTCAGAAGGACGATTGTTCCTCAGTAAATAATAAATAAATAAATAAAAATCTGTTTCTAAAACCACTCTTTTTACTTGTTGAAGGGGGCAAGAAAGGTGCTGTAGTCTTACTTTATTTATCCCATTGTTACCGAACTCAAGTATTTGTTTACTGATCTTGTTGCACTATGGTAAGGAACAAGCTCTTGAAGTTTTTCTGTCACAGTCGTTCCCCTTTAGCTGTGTTATGCTGAATTGCTGTGTTTTATTCTAGTGAATATAGTTGTCAAAGATCCTCTGAAGGAGGGCTTGGTCCTGCTCAATGCTGGTCATTCTGAAATAGAGCCTGAGATTTCTTTGGTTGACCACATTAGAAGCTGAAGTTATTCAGCGCTTCAAGGGATCAAGCCCACATATTCAAAGAAAGCATGTAACCATATATTTTCTCTTAATGCTTAGGCCTTTTGTTACTCATTTTCGGAGTAAGCAGAAAGGGATGTGGGGGGAAAATATCTGGCCTCTAACTTTGCTCTTCAAGGCTCGTAATATGCCTAGCTGTCCTGTTTTGGTAGCATGCACTTGTTTTGGCTTAATTACATCCAAAAAGATTATATAGCTTGCATAAATAATTGGTAACTCACTATTATATATTTGTTTATTTTTAGACTTTCTTCAAGAGAATTATCCATCCTTTGATCTGAAGGAAACTGGATATGATTGGAAGGCGTGTGTGGCTGCCATAAACAGCACAATCCGCAGTCTCAGACATGACCATAAAAAGGCTACAGTTGGAATCCGGCGGAAAGTCTTGGCAGTGCCACCACCGAGTGCAAAGAGTCCTCCACAGAGCCCCCCTTTAGTCAAGCCATTTGAAAGTGACACTATCAATCTCACGGACTGAAGCTCTCTGTCTCAAATCTTAATTTAGCAGCCTTTTTAAAATCCCACATAGAAGCATATTACATTGAGTACAGTGTCCTATTATACTGAGTTGTCAGCAGCACTAAATAGTATTATTTCATGAGGCCAAAGTTAGCAGAAGACTTGGGAACCCTAACTCCTTGTATAAGTAGCATTTGTGCTCCTCAGAAATTACTTCCACTATTCCCTGTAGCATTTCCAATGTGCTCTCCCCTAAAAGTACCTTCTTCTCGTAATTCATTGACTTGGAAAAATAAATCTGATTAGGAAAGATGCACTGTGCATCAAGTCAGCAGAAGCACATAGAAATGTGGAAAGAATGATCATCCTTAGAGGAAGACTCATAGCTAGCTAAATTGTCTCATTATGTGTGAGGAATGAAATTTGCTTTGACAAATGGATATTTTAAGCAAAAATATCTAATGCAGAAAGGAAAAAAAAAAGTTTTTATTGCATCTAGCTAACTTCTTGTATCTCTCACTTTTTTTGCCTCCTATAGCAGTCCGTTGTAGGATAAGGAAGGAGGCAGACAAAAATGTAAGTACAGTTGGACTGTATTTTAGCTCTGATTTAGCTCTGCGAAAGCACAAAAAAAGCATCCAGAAAAAACAGCCCAATGGTTGGTTCTGTTTTTTCATGATGAAAATTAAAGGAAAGAATTCCTCAGGTGCTTGGTCTACTGTTCAGTGGCATATGTCTCATCTGCTGGAGTGGGTGTTCAGAAGATGGAAATCTGCTCCAGCTTTCAACTAGAGCATTTGGGTCCTGATTCAGATTTGAGAATTGTGATTATTCAGAGTCACAGACTGGTTGAAGTTGGAAGGGACCTCTGAAGGTCATCTGATCCACTCCCCCTGCTCAAGCAGGGCCACCACCATGTCCAGACAGCTTTTGAATATCTCCAAGACTGAAGACTCCGCAACCTTCCTGGGCAACCTGTGCAAAGGCTCAGTCACCATCACAGTAAAAAACTGTTTCTTGATGTTCAGAGGGAACCTCCTGTGCTTCAGTTCATGCCCGTTGCCTCTGGTCATGTCATTAGGGACCACTGAGAAGAGCCTGGCTCTGTCCTTTTGTGTCTATCCTCTTTGCAACCTTCCCTCAGGTATTCATATACATTGAGATCCTCCTTAAGCCTTCTTTTTTTCCAGACTGAACAGTCTTTCTCTCTCTTTAACCCTTACTCACAGGAGAGGTGCTTCAGTCCCTTCATCATCTTCATGGCCCTTTGCTGGACTCTCTTCAGTGTGTTTGTGCCTCTGTTGTACTGGGGAGCCCAGAGGTGGATGCAGCATTCCAGGTGAGGCCTCACTAGGGCCAAGGAGAGGAGAACAGTCACTTCCCTCAACATGCTGCCAACATCCTCCTAATGCACCCCAGGGTACCATTAGACTTCTTTGTGGCAAGGGCTCATTTGCTGGTTTATGATCAACTTAGTGTCCACTAGGACATCCCAGGGTACACTCTGCCCCATAATCCAGATAATGAATGAAGATATTAAACAGGATTGGACCCAGTATTGATCCCTGGGGTACTCTGCTGTTTACTGGCCTTCATCTAGGCTTCATGCTGACGATCACTACTCTCTGGGCCTGGCCATTCATCCAGTTTCCAGTTCATTTTACTGTCTGCTCATCCAATCTGTAGCATCAGCAGCAGCTTCTCTGTGAGGATCTTCTGGGAGACAATGTCAAAGGCCTTCCATAAATCCAGGTAGACAATATCCACTGTTCTGCTTTCACCAATCAGGCCAGTCATTTTATCGTAGAAGTTTACCAAGTTGGTCAGCCATGAGCTCCCCTTGGTGAAGCCATGCTGTGACTGCTCCTGGTGGTATTCTTGTCATTTGTGTGCCTGGAAATGGTTTTCTTCCCAGGGATGGAGGTGAGGCTGACTGGCCTGTAGTTCCCTGGGTCCTCTTCCCCATCCTTCTTCAAGACAAGAGCGACATCTTCTTTCATCTGGTCTTCGGGCACTTCTCCCGTTCACCACGATCAACCAAAGGTGATCAGGAGTGGTATCACAATGATGTCAGCCAGCTCCCTCAGCACTCGAGGGTACATCCCATCAGGCCCCTTGGGTTTAGTGCACATCCAGTTTGCTTAAGTGTTCCCTGACCAGATTCTCTTACACCCAGTGTGTCTTCATTGCTTCAGCCTTTCCCCCTGGCCTGTGGGACCTGGGATTCTGGAAGGCCAGTCTTGCTCGTAAAGGCTGAGGCAAAGCAATCCAGAAGTGCCTCAGCCTTTTCTGTGTCCTGTGTCACGAGGTCCCCTGTCTCTTTCAGCAGTGGACCCACATTTTCCCTAGCCTTCCTTTTATCACCTATGTAGTTGCAGAAGCCCTTTTGTTGTCTTTGGCATCCCTGGCCATGTTCAATTCCACTTGGGCTTTAGCTTTCCTAACTTCAACCCAGCTCAGACACTGTATCCCCCCCCCCCATTACTTTTTTCTTTTTTTCCCTTTTTCCCCAGCCTCTGTACGCTTCCTTTTTGGAACCGTACTTCCTTCTGTTTGTCCAGAAGCTCCTTGTTCATCTGCACAGGCCTCCTGGCATTTTTGCCTTACTTCTTGTTTGTTGAGATGGATTGCTCTGGAGATTTGAGGAGGCAATCCTTGAATTTTAACCAACTTTCATGGCCCCATATTTTCTCCAGGGTCCTAATCCCATAGGACTCTTCCTAGCAGATCTTTGAGGAGGCTGAAGTCTGCTCTCCTGAAGTCTGGGATTATGAGCATGCTTTTTATCATCCTCCCTCCCCTCAGCATCCTGAACTCCACCATCTCATGGTCACAGCAGCTACGGCTGCTTTTGACCTTCATATTCTCAACTAGCTCCTCATTGTAGGTGAGTATGAGGTCCAGCAAAGCACCTGTCCTTGTTACCTCTTCTATCACCTGGAGGAAGAAGTTGTTGTCAATAATAAATATTCATGCAGTTGCCTTTCCTTTCTATCCACTCAATGCTAAAGATTTATTAGTGCACTGAATTATATATTAAAAAAAAACAACAACAAAACCAACCAAACAAATTTTGAAAACTACTTGGGTGTTGAACTCGTAAAAAAAAATAAAAATTAATGACTATATATATTCAGTGTCACATCCCCGTTAGTTTCATTTGTAAGTTGAAATTCAACAGCAGTACTGTACAAAAATTCATGACTTCTTTTCTTGGGCAAGTTCTTTGTTGCTTGGGGTATTTTGGTCGTGTTTATTGTTTTGTTTTGTTTGCTTTCAAAAGAGGAAGTATTTGGTATGTGCCTTCCTGTTACATGATTTTCCAGCACCAGTCACACCTTCCTCTCGCTGTCTTTGTAATGGTTAACTGGTGCATGACCTTGCCTTGCCACTTGCATTATGTCCCAGTGTGGTTCTCAGATGTCTTCGGAGAAAGAAGCTTCTCAGAAGACTGACACAGGGAACCAGTTACGCCTCTGAAAATTGGGGCAACAGTGGCTTCCAAAATTACGCCTGTGTACGTAGCAGAACAACATCTAACTAAATCTGTCCTCTCCAAGGCAAAGGTTTCATAGTTTGGGTTTTTTGTTAGTAATAGGGTAGAATAGTGAAGTTACTTTTTCTCACTTCAACTTATATTCATAACAAACAGGCAGTTTTTATTATATACAGTATAGGAACAGCTTTTTTTTATTGCAAGTTAGGATATGCAATGGCCTTATCAGATATGAAATCCCCTACCACCTCCTTGCAGAAGCCTTCTGTAGGATTTAAGAAATAGGCTGAATTTCTGTTTTGGTTTCTTTTTTTTATTATTTACTAGAAATGATGTACTGCAAATTTGGTTGCTCTGGTTTACTACTAACAAATTGTGCTGTTGCTGTTCTATAAAACAGTCATTCTTGTAAATGCCAAGAACTTTGTTGTGTGTAGATATTACTAGTTCCAAACCTTCGAAAAAAACAAAAATGCTTATATTTTTTCAGTAGTTTTATGAAACTTTTTCACTGTCCTTCGCAGATTTTAATGGTAGAATGATATATTTATTGAATGACCTGTGTGGCACTGAAACCTGTTAGTGTGGTGCGTACCTATAGCTTCCATATCGAAAAGAGAATTGAATAATTGAATAAAAGTAGAAATAGTTTTCTTGTTTCTGTTTCAAATGTATCCATTTTTGCTAACTTTTATAAAATAAAATTACAGTATTTTGCTGTTAGGAATAAAGTATTTTACAAATAAAACTAGCATATAGCTCCTTGACTACACACGTGTGTCTGACATTTCTTGCACTGTGGATCTACAGTTCAGTTACAGTTTCATCTGAAAAGATTCTTTCAATCTCCTTTCAGGAACCAGGGTTTTGAGCAGATCTTCTGATTGAGGTGAGATGATTTCCAAATTTTGACTGCCTTAACTAATTTAGTAAACCAATGCAAACTCTTTTGGACTTCGCTTGTCAGTTACAGCTTTGTGTGAGCTATCTGAAATGAAGACTTCCACAAAAGGGTAGGATTTGAGTAACATTTTTAAGAAACTCCTTTAAACTGCTACATTTTGGTAGGCCAGGCCTTATTCACCCGCTGGATTTGGTTTCTGTATTAGTCCTTATTCAAGGAATAAAGCAGGGCTGGAAGGCAGTCTGTTCATTTGATACATTGATAATTCACGCCCTCGCCTCCTCCTTTGTAGTCCTAATACCTGTCCCTAATGCAGTATGAGTCCTTCCTCTGTGAGGTAGAGCTGGGCCCTTTATTCATGTGTGATTGACATCTCTGGATTTGAAATATTTCATAGTTCATCTGGTACTTCTGCCATCAGCCTTGGCAGCCCTCTAATCCCGTACTGCTCATGTCCAGGATCTGGTGTACGCTTCTTGATAATATGTAAAATGTTGTGCTTTCTTGATCCACCTATTGTAGCCTTGTGAATGGTGGTGCATTCAGTATTTTCATGTGATATATTCATAATTACGTGTATAACTATGCTATGCAAAAAGAAAATACGTATGCATTACACAAATATTAAAATACTTTCATATTACCTTCATTTTAGGATTGACTCAAGGGAGTGCATTTCCCTTTCTACAATATGAAAGTGGTGGGGGTTGGTCGGGAGGTTTTTTTGGTGGTATTTCTTAAAGTTTAGATCCTTAGGGTAGTTGTTGGGTGAGCAATACGCTCTGTGTATCAGATCCTCCTCTGCTCTTGGGTGGTGTTGATTCAACTTAGATAAAGCTGCTACAGCCTTTCCCAGCAGATTGCTGGGCGCTTGTTTCCGCGTGGCTGGAGAAGATGGGTGGGTATGTGAGCGAGGGAAAGGACCAGAGCAAACGTTCATTGGGGTCCCAGGGCCTGGCAGTCCCATAAAGGGTTTTCTGTAGGAGTTGGGAGATATGTCTCCATGAAATAGTTCCGTTCTTCCTTACCTGTCGTAGGGTGGACAACTTTTATCCTTTGGTGAGATGGATCACTGCGTGCTCTTGTCTAGCACTTGAGTGTAGTTGTTCATTGCACTTAATGTGATGGAGCAGCTTGAGGGGTGCTCCCCCAGTGAGGGAGAGCGAGCTGGGGCCGGGGGCACCCACAGCACAGCAGCACCATGCCCTTACTGACAGGCTGCTCTGGTCGGGGCTGGGGTGGTCAGGGCAGGGACCACCGACAGTCCTGGAGGAGACAGGGTAACAAGTTGGGTCCAGTTGGCAATTCCAATTCCAGTTGGCAGCAGCTGAGGCACTGGGTTTGAGGTTCCTGCAGGAGATGGGGCCAGACTGGGGACACGACTGTGACAGGGATGCCCTGGTCCCCCTGCCCAATAAGGGACTCTGCAGGGGTGGCCAAGAGGGACCTGGGCAAGCTGCTCAGGGCAGCTAAGGCCTCTTGGTGACCCCTGGGGCTCTGATCAACAGTTTTGCAGACTGTATGCAAATAACCCATCTCGCAGGCATGTCCAGCTTTAATAGCCAGAACTTGTCCCTCAGAATAATATCAGTACCATTATTTTCTATTTTCGTCAAGTGTTTGTTCAGACTGTTTGATGGAAGTGTTCAAAGGATTTTAGAATACGATGTAGAGAGGGATAAATATTTGCGCAGTTCTTCATTTTTTATTTTTTTTTTTTTGTGTAGATATGGCAATGTGATAATTTTGTAGCTCCCTTGTACAATCACTGATTTCTTTTTGTTCAATATATGGTATGATGATACCTGTGCATGAAGTGAGATGGGAACTGCTGACTGTAAATGCCATCTGAACTATGAGCTTATGGAAATATTTAACTTACATGTTCAGGGTAGATTCCGTGCACACACACCCCCACCCAGGTAGTGAGGTGACATTGATTATACTGCTCGGGGAAATTCACTCCTGCACTAGAAACGGAGCTGTGACTCCTGGGTGACTTGAAGGGCGATAGCACCACCTACCGAGGGCCAAAAGTTTTTTTCTGAGAAATTGAAAAATCCCTGACAGAGAACTACTAAATATCCTGACAGAACGATGCAGTTCTGAGAATTTAATTTTGGTGCACTCACTGAACAATTGAAGTTTCACTTTTAGCTGACTTTAATTTAAATCTTTCCATTTAAAAACGATCTAATTTGAGTTTGGATTTGTTTTTTCAGTGAGATGCTATTTTTGCTTTAGTTACTTTTAGCATCATCTGTAAATCTTTAACGTATGGGGCAACTGTTTACCTTCTGTTGATAAGTAATAAAATGTGGGGTTCACGGAACACCAGGATCAGCATCCTCTTTTCACACAGCCTTAGCAGATTCTTTAGCATTTAATATGCTAGCATGAATTTTCTGAGGGTGACATCTTCTTTGTAAGCCCCGTGGAGGCAGAGAACCCCAGAGCCATCAGCAGGCAGGCAAGTGCACGAGGCTTGGGAAATTCCCAAAACTGTGCGAAGGCACCACAGGTTGTCCAGAAGGACAGCTTTCTGCTTGTAGCATCAGGTTTCAGAAGGTGATACAACAATATTGTGGGTCAGGAGACATTTAAAAATATTATTGGGTGCCTAATTTGAGATAGGAAGGTTGCAGTTACATGACAGAGTGCAACCAGCCCAAATTGGGGGTGTGGGGTGTGTGTGTGTGTCAGCTGTGGTAGGTGGCTATATCCCAAAGTACTTGGACAGGTGAAACTTACTGAAACTGTGGGGGGGGTGTGTGTGTCAGCTGTGGTAGGTGGCTATATCCCAAAGTACTTGGACAGGTGAAACTTACTGAAACAAACTGGTGTTCTAGCTTTGGGAAGTGCACTGAGCAAGTGCCAAAAAGACTTGAAAAAAGGAAGGGGCCTATCCAGATGTGACATCCTGCAAGATCTTCTGTTTGGGAACAGAGGTTGCTAACCATAGCTGAAAAACTATACTGCTAATAGGGTGCCGTGCATGTTTTTCTTTATTGAATGCCCTAAATTGCTTAGTTTAGGTATCGCGTGGACTGATACAGAATAAGATATCCAATATTTGCTGACCAGTGCCTTCCGGTATGCAGAAGGCAGTCCATGCTTCTACTTAGTTCAGGCCAAAGGTGTTAAAGCTCAGGTTGCTGCAAGCATGGCTTGTTTGATGGATGCTCTTCTTATGCCACTTAATGCCTGCTAATGTCACAGCTTTTAAACCAGGTTGGACTCAATGATCCCAAGGGTCTCTTCCAACCTAGACGATTCTATGATTCTATAGGCAAAGCCTGAGTGTCTGTAGGAATGCAGAGCATTATTTCACTCCAGTTGCTCTCTGAGGTTTTGACTCTGAAGGCTGTTGGAGGGTTTGGTGAAAGGACACAGAATGACATCGTCTGGAGCGGCCCCTTTTAGCCAATCAAGCTTCCTATCTGCTTGGTTGAGTGAAACACCTGCTTCTATACAACATTACATCATTTCAGCCTGGAGAAGAGGGGGCTGAGGGGAGACCTTATTGCTCTCTACAACTACCTGAGAGGAGGGTGTAGAGAGGTGGGGGTCGGTCTCTTCTCCCAAGTCACAGGTGACAGGACAAGAGGAAACGGCCTCAAGGTGTTCCACGGGAGGTTCAGGCTGGATATTAGGAACAATTTTTACACTGAAAAGGTTATTAAGCATTGGAATGGGCTGCCCAGGGAAGGGGTTGAGGCACCGTCCCTGAAGGTATTTAAATGACGGGTTGATATAGTCCTTAGACACATGGTTTAGTGATGTGGTTTTTTATCAGAGTTAGTTTGATGGTTGGATTACATGATCTTAAAGGTCCCTTACAACCTAGACAATTCTATGATTCTACTTACCTTGTTTGCTTCTTTTACCCAGTCCATGTTTTGCTTCACTTGCGCAAGCCGTGAAAGCTGATGAGAAACGCAGGCCTATTTTGTTAAGCACCGGTTTGCTTTCTGAAGTCTGCATTATCACTGGAGAACGTGTCGGGGTCTGCAAGGAATGGGTCTAGTAAGCTCGATTTTGAGAGCAGCTTTTGTACCACGTCCTACTTTTTGCTTCTTATTGCCCAGAGCATCAATCTTCACTCAAAATTGGCAACAAATACGCTGAAACGGATTGGCTTAGTTTTCTGATCCACAAGATAATTCCTTTCCCATAGCAGTTACACAGGCAGGAAATTTCAGAAGGAAAGGGAAAGCTATTTAAGTTGACGCTGGGGGAATAAAAATTGTATTTTAAGTTCTTGATTGTTGCATACTATTATGCTTATATGGAGGAGTGAACGAGCAGTCAGGTGCTTAGGACATGAAGTATGTAGGCACATTTTTCCCCCCAGTTGTCAGAGAAAGGTGAAACCACTGAGAAATTAATAGTAATGCATTACTGATATGATGGGTTTTGTTTAAATGTTTTTGTAAATAATGTATTGACTCCAAACTGAGAAAAGTAAGAAAAATATAGGTTGTGAATTTTTTAAGAAACCTTAAAAAAAAAAAAAACTACACAAGAAAAAAAAAAACAAACCAGGCACCGCAAAGCAACAACAATAAAAAAATCCCCAACAACATTCTGCCACTTCCTTTAAGAGATCAAAGATAACATTTCAGTGTCACTATTTTCTGTTCTGTTCTTTTGCCACTGCTGTGAAGGAGGAGTTTGTTTTCTACTCTATGGTCATGACCTTCTTGGAAATAAATTCAGTCCTTTAAAGCAGCAACCTATTAAAACATAGTTGTTTTCCACACATTGCAGAACTCCACTTCTTAAATTCCATTAAGATAGTTTTCCATAAAACATTCTTTCCATCCTTCCATGTATTTGGATTATAAGCGAGGATTAT